ATTTAGGGTTATAATTTTAGGGTAATAGATATATACCTTTGATTTTGGTTCACCTTCAAAAATAATTACCCATATATCTAATATTATACAAATCAAATAATGTTTATCTACAAAAAAAAATAAAAAAATAAAAAATAAATTATATATTATATAATTTTAAATTTATGTTTTGAAAATTTTTTGTTCATCTTTAAAAATAATTATCCATATATATAAATTTTTGTTTTCTATAATAATGTTTAAAAAAGTTAAAAAGTTTTAAATAATTAATATTATATAATAATACTGTAGATTAATAAATTTACTTTTTTATAATAAATAATTAAACTCTATAAACAATATATTAAAGATTTAAGAATATATATAAATCTATAAACTTATTGACAAGTATTGTATTTTAATCAAAAATTAATAAACACTTAAATTGCAATTTGATTAATAATATTTGAATTTTTTTTTAATGACAAATTATTTTAGAAAATACTATTATTATTATAAATAGTTTAAGCAAGGACTCAATAAAAATTAAAAATAGAAAAAAGGTATAAAACTTAATAACCCATAGCACTTAAGAATTTTGATTAAAAGCACAAATTATAAAAAGATACCTTCAATATACAAATCTAATTTTCCCAAGTGAGTGCGTGCACAAGTAATTTCGGAAATCACAATAACTTCTTTGATTTTATAAAACGTTTTGTCATTGGTTTATTGTAGTAAAACTGACAATATGCTATATATTGATTTCCAAATAATGTCTATCCAAGGTATCCTAGAATTAAATTTTCGGATATATTTTAACGTAGCCTTGCCATCAAGACATTAAAATCAGCGAATAATGATTGTAATTGACTACTAGTGGATAGGACAACTTTCTACATTACCCTTTCCGCCAAGATCAAGCGCGTTTAAATTCGGATTTTATGTTAGAAATCCCAACGGGAACCTGAGCCTTCATTGAGCAATTTGAAAGATGAAAACATGAACCATCACTAGTCAACCACTAGCAGAAACTGATCGAAGGGAAAAATTAGATACAATAATATTTCGAACCTCTTCGTCGTACTCTGCCCAATCGCCTTCAGTCAAGTCGATATTTTCGAAAATGGTTCCGCTATCAACTCCTTTGGCTTTGAATCCGATCTGGGAAAGAAGCGTTTTAGAAAAGCTAACTGATCCCATAATAGAGGAAAATAAATTAATAGATAGGCACCCTAGGATCAAAATCCACGAACTCCAATCCTCTACATTCAATAATTGCAATCTGTGTAAATTGACCGTTGTTATCAATGGTATATGGTTTAATAGATGTTCGATCGATTTCTACAAAACACAATTGTTATCCTTGCACAGGAAAAAAAAAAAGGGAACCTGTTGAGAGGTAATGAATGACTCACGTGCAGAACTTTCCCGCTTACAGAACTTACAACGCATCACAAAATTCGCAATTCCTCGTGAACCAGATATTTCGTTTTGAGCCTTCAATTGATAATTCGGATACGAAATTGTTAATACATTTCAACAGAAAAAAAAAGGCAAGAAATACTTACTAGCTTGTTGACGCCGACCCAATTTTCGTTTACCTCGCTGCAACTAGTGCACTTGACCTACATTAATCAACAGAGAATTCGAGAATTGTAGAAATAAGAACAATAATTTTACGAGATAAATAGTAACCTGGAAATGCCACTCATAATCTTCGTCTCCTGGTTCGACGTCCGTTACATTCTCAAGTTCGGCCTTGAAATAGAGTGCAAGTCTCTTTACGAGAATGGATATGAGCAGGAATTACTAACATAGAAATCAACGAATAGAAATTTTAATTATTTACCACCATTCTTGATTAAGGTTGGAGGGGAACGAAAGGAAAAATTCATAAGCAAACACGTGACCATTAGACGAAACAGAATTAGCGTGGGCAAAAAATTATATTACTATATTACTTAAACATTTTGTGGCGTTTGATAATCTCATCTCATATAAATGGAATTTAAATTGATTGTTGTCCTTTCGTGAACGGAATTGTGACATGTCAACTCATTCTGAGCAGATCACTACTGTCACGCCCGAAAATGATGGTCCTTCTTTCCCTGCCTTCCTTGCTAAACCGAAGGAAGGTAGTGGGCCAGGTTTAATTCTCCTTACCGAAAATCTTGATATCAGTCAGGAGATCGAACGGGAAGCTATTCTATTCAGCCAGGAAGGATACGTTGTATTAGTTCCAGATTTGTCGACAATTTCGTTAGACGGTCAGGACGGGAATATGTATACTAGTGGAATTATAAATCATCTCGCAAATCTGCCAGAAAAGATTGGAAAAATTGGAATTATTGGTCGTGGACGTGGAGCATCAGTGGCCATCAAATTGGCTGCGAGCGCGTCTAGTACCACGCAAGCGGCAGTTTCTTGTGGTGTCGCATATTACCCGACCAATCTAAAGGAGGAGATATTGGAGTTGGCAAAGATTAAGGGTCCTTTTATGGTTCACCTTGCCGATGGCTGTGATGAGAGCATCAAGGAGGAGCTAAAAAATTCAACCTCTCAAAATAATCTCATAAGTATTTTCGAGTATCCAGGTGTGGATTATGGATTCGCGTCTCCAAACGTCCAAGCGCCTCCAGAAGTTCAGACTGCGGTCAACACCGCGTATACCAGGTCTTTGAGACTCTTAAAGAAGATAATGGGACCTTATTATGATCTGTCCGCTCTATGGGATAAGCACATCGAATATGAGTTTTTAGCGAAGGATACGCAAAAAACGGTGGAAACCATGGTAAATTAACAAACACCCAGCAAACCGTCCGTGTAAGACGTGATTGCTTACTGGGTATGATATTTTTTTATAAAGGTCGAAGACGCATACGTCAATCACATCCCAACCATGACCGGCGGCGTCGGGCGTGAACATCTTGAACAATTCTGTACGGTGACTTTGAAATGATAATCATGACAAATTTGAATTATCGTGATTGGAGAGTGAGAATTAATGCCGCCGTTTCACAATAGATCATAATCATTTTATTCATTCCAATCCAACTGACACACGAATGATTCCAATCTCACGAACGATTGGTATTGACCGCGTGGTTGATGAAATGGTAGTCTGTTTTACCCACACCCAGGAAGTTGATTGGATTCTTCCAGGTATTCCACCAACTAACAAGTACGTTCAAATACCGCTCGTGGTAATTATCCATTTTCGTGGAGATAAACTGTGCAGCGAACACATTTACTGGGACCAGGCATCAGTTCTTGTGCAAATTGGACTTTTGAATAAAGAAGGACTCCCAGTGACAGGAGGAGAACAGGCTGAAAACTTGTTAAGCAAAAATTTGAAGAATAATGAATTGTTGAAAAAATTTAAAAAGACTGAATAAAATCAACGCCTATCAACATGATCATATTATTGTTAGACATGGATTGTTAGACATCTTTGGGAATTAACAATTTCTACGTAGTACTTTAGTAACTTTCTATGTCATGGCTCAAAGATTTTCTCAAGGATCAAGTAATCATCTCAATGATGGTCACGTACAAACTGGGTCACCTGAATCGTAACGGTCAAAGTTCAGAATGAGGCGTGCGGTAAATCAAAACAAAGACTCGAATTCTTTTTTTTTCAGCTTTTTGAAAATTAACAGGCAAAAAGAAAAACAACGTTATCTGGTGCGACTTGGATAGGAATTGATTGTGAATGAAAAATTTTATTCAAAATAAAAAAAAATTTTTTTTTCTGTGCTGCGGTCAGATAATTGCGATTTATCTTCCTTGGACTCCTGCAATGAAAAGGAAAAATGTAAACAAATTAAAGTTGTGTATTGTATACGAAAAAAGAGATCCTTGTTCGTGGCAAAGGGGGATAACATGCTATGACATCGATCTATATTTATGGAAATGCGTGCGTACGCACTTATGCACACGTTAGGTATGTGTGTGCGCATTGAAAAGAAAAATGGGGTCGCTTCCAAAATTATCGGGGCTCGGTAACCAGTTGGAAACCAGTTGCCATACAGTTATGGTGTAATTGAAGATTGCATTAGAGAATCACCAGGTAGAACTCTTCTGTGTGACGATGAAAAGGCATCGCGAATAACAATTCTTATGCTTACTGTACAAACTTGTGAACCGATTGAAAAATTTTTTAGGGGTGAGTAATAATTGAATATGCTTGCACCGAACAACAAAGATATATTTGTAAATTCGCTATTCGCCAAATCAAGCAAGAGAAAAAAGGTCATCGTTTGATTTTGATCCATTTGATTTTTTATTCTATTATCATTTCATACATGAATTCATTGTAAATGATAAGGCTTCAATTCTCGTATGTACGCACGAATAGACGTCAATGAACGGTTCATGATCTAAAAGTTTCCAATATAAGCGATTCATAGAATTCATTGTAATATCTATAAAAGAATTCTAATCTAGAGCATCTATTCATTACAATTTAGGAATAGGTTAGAGTCAGGAATCGGTTGATTACTTTTTTTAATTCCGCCATCTTGGATAACAATTCCCACTTTCACATCCACACGCCAGCCACATATGCCCAATATTCAGATCTTTTTTTTTTTTTTTCAATGTTTTTTCTTTTTTCCCCCTTTTCCCCTTAGCCCGATAGACAATTGATCTGATTCTTTTCATCTACTTTATACTCGTCTTTATATATAAATAAAGAAATAAAGTAGGTGCAATTAAAATAAAATAAAAAATGGAAGAAAAAATGATTGCATAAATTTACTGATGTATCACAGGTACAAATAGGAATTACCCATTGAAAAAAAAAAAATGGAGTTGCAAATAGTAGTGCACAATGATGACTTTTTTTTTAGCCAGGCCTTTTTGGGCATCCGTATTCATATGCGGTAAATAATATTTTAAATATGCAGTGCGATTGAGAATTTGCTTTTTAGCCCGCTTGGTACAAAAAAATAATTTTTGCCTTTTAAAACTTGCTTGTTTCCTTAAATGTAACCGACAAATCAAGTAACGCGTCCCCATGCTTTAATGAATGTACCGATATATTCACATAGATCTGATTGGTTGATTTTCGGAAAATCTTTAATTATTACCATATTATTTTTGAATTAGTAATTTATGTTTGAAGTTCGTAAATAAGAAAAATTTCCGAAATTTGTTTTTAAACAGGAACGTGCTTGCCAACATACGCTCTTTTTCGAGAGTCGAGGTTTGACCGGAATTGAATCTTGAATTGGTTAAAATGGAGACAAGACGTTAATGACTCGGATACTCTCGTTCTTCAGTGAATCCGTTTATGATCAAATATAATTATACAATACAGATAACTTCATCTACGGAAAATTTCCTCATTGATCAAACTTCGCACCAATTGCACAAAGAAATTTACGAATATCGATATATTTTACGCTTTTTTTATTACTATTATTTATTATGATGAATTTCTTTACTTTTTAGAGAGGCTGAATGTTTGTATGCTTGTGAAAATGCGAAAAAAAAAAAAAAAAAAAAAATTAAGCTTTAAAAAAAAAAAATGTGAATAAAATGTCTTTCTGATTGTGTGACTGAAAATTGCATGATGTAACTTCTCCGAGTCTTCCCGTCAATGCGTAATCGATATTCCTCATCATCCAGCCCTTTTTTTTTCGTTTCTAGGAAAAGTGTCAAACCTTCTATGTACTTATATAAAAAAAAGAGCAAATAAAATTCTAAATTTATCTTCTGTAATAATAAATATGGTTTTTCCTACATCACACTACCAAGCTAATCGTCCCAACTTACTACCATTAAAAGGGTTATTAGGATGGCTTTTTCATTAGGCGCTTTGCAATTTGTGTGCAAGGAAACTGGAAAACATGTGTTGTGGAAATATACACCACACCATTTATAAACTTAGTGTGATCGATAACGATTCTACTATACTGAAAAAATGTTCCTTCCGGGTCATTATTATGTGTATTGTAAAAATTAACTACAAAGACGTGTGTCAATATGACTTTTTGGTATTAAGAATATGTATATATATGTATATATATATTTTTTTTTTTATAAAAAAGTTCATATTTAACAAACTTCTCCTGAAGTCGATCCTTCTTGAATCTCCCTTCGGGAAATATCGTTGCTATTCGTCCCACTATCTACATCAATTCTTTCCCTGTTCTCAACCAACATCCCATTGGGAGATACAACCGCAAAAGGTGCCGTATACCTTGGGTCATATCTCCTAGGTATTGGTGATAATATGCGAGAGGTGTGACCACGTTCTGCAGAACCTTCATGATCATCATAAAGCAACGGATTAAAGTAATTGTCATAATTATCATTAGCATCTTCACCAAAATTAGATCTAGAATCATATGAGGTGATGACATTCCCCCTTCGGACATTGTGCCTTAAACGCCTTGGTAATGGCGGTAATGATTCCGGGATTTCGGAAAAGGCCGATGGTATATAAGGACCGGTAACACGAATCAATGGAGGTATGTCTATCCCACGTTGAATGAGTTCTTCTCTCGTGAGTGCTGTTCTCGTACTTGATGATCTATGACCTGATGATGATGATGATCTAGGGTTTCTGGACCTCATGGCACGATTATCTTGGGTGAATTGGCGAAGTATATTTACACGCCTAAAGACATTGTCTAAAGCTACATTACTTTGTGATTGACTTGGATTTGTGACGCTACTATTGACACTTGATGTATTATCGGATGACAACTCTGTGGAGTGAGAATTTGCGATGGACAAATTGTTAGGAGTTGAATTATTTGTCCCTTCAGGTGAATCGCTTTGTCTTATTTCACTATTGGATGTTGAAGTATTTGAAGAATTCTGTTGTGCTTGCAGTTGCGCTATATGTAATAATTGTGCGGACTGCAATTGCATTCCACGCCTGGTAGCCAAACCTGAGGATGCAATTTGTTGTTCTCTAGTACGGTGTAGGTGAGGAATGTTACCTAATCTTTGAATATGTTGAACTAGGTTGTTATATGGTAATGAAGAAGATCTTCTGATCCTTTGCGGTCGCAGTTGTTCATTTTGAATTGGTAACTGGGAACTGGAAGTCCTCGGTTGAAGCCAATCTGAAAACTCTGAAATTTGTTCTCGGTCAGTCAAATTTATTTCCGAAGAATGGTAAGAGCCATCCCTATTAACTCCACCCCCAGTGCTAGCATATTCACCACTTCTATATGGTCGACGAATAAAATAACGACGATTACCGAATGCACTTGTTCTGGAGTTTTGGTATAAATCTCCAGAATAGTCGGTGTCTTCGTACGGTGATTGCGGTTGTTTCGGCAGTTGTCTCTTCGGAAGAGACGGTGAAACATACATTGGAAGTCCCATATTTGCTAAAATAACTTTTCTTTTTCTCTTTCTTTGGTTTTTTTATTAAGTGGTGATGAAATAGTAATTATAACAGTTAATGATAACAATAAAATGTGGTGCGTCGTATCGGTTTAAAAAAATTTTCTATCCGCTGTTGAGATTTATTGGCTCCTTTATATAAGCAGTCTTTTTTTTTTTTTACCAAAAAATTTTTTTTTCAATACTCAAACAAGGCGAATGCAGGAAAAAAAAAAAATTTTTTTTTTTATTATTATGATTTAATTTTTTTTTTATTTGGATATTAGTCATACACTTTGGTAATATAAAAAATTAGTGGACAAAAAAAATCACTTTGTCTCTTCGTTGGGTGAAGATCAACCCCTGTTTATTTGTTTGTTGAGAAACAAAAGAAGAAAAAGGGGGAAGCAAAGAAAAGGGGAGGGACATTGAAATTACAGGGTTACCATGACTTGGAAAAAACATATTCTCAAAGTCCGTCATTGCAGTCATTACGGTATTATTATGCTACATTAAACTGATCAAATAAGATTCGAATACAAGGAATCTTTACAATGATGATAATATGATAATGATAATGAAAACTGTAACAAAATAAGCACTTTGAATGTTATATGAGTTAAATGTTGTGACCTTTTAAACAATACCGCCAAAAAATTTTTCTCTTTTACTTTTTCCAATTTTAGTAATATGTTTTTCAAGACTAAAGTTATGCCCACTATTAATTTCAGTAATTGTACGCCATCTCTTTTTCGTATGACCGCAGCAAGAACGCCCGATCAAAGATTCAAGTTTCTTGTAGCCAAGAGGTTTACCAACATAAATAAATCTAATTTGTAATAGGTACGTGCGACGTAGATAATATAAATTTACAATAATAATAAAAAATTTTTTTTCTGGGTGTCTTGTAAACACATAACCAGTGGTCGATAATCACGCGACATGACTCATGAGTCGTGGCATTTTTTTTTTTTGATTTTTTTTTTTTTTTTTCATTCCTGCACTTAATTTATCGGTGGCTCAAACCTATATAAATTTAGTTAAAAATTCAGGCGGACCGTTTCGTCGAATAATGTTCGTGCGCAGCCGCATGCAATGCAATGTTGCGAACAACTTAATAAAGTTCGAAGCTTAATATATTTAATCTTGATCAACTGATTTGATTGTTTAGATTCTTTTGCTGTCAGATTTTTTCGCTTTGTCATGTTATTACGATAGATTTGTGGTTTCCGAAATGACCATAATGACGATGAAAATATTTATGTAACTATTATTAATATACAGCATAATATTATTCGTTTTACGCTTTTGCGTTTACAATTAATGAAATATTTATATAACATGAAAACATAACACAATTTGATTGGTTGTTGATTCACAGTTTAAAAAAAATTTTTTTCATTATCGAAATTATTAATTTTAACCCGTTTCCTTATTATCAAATTTAAGTAAATCTTTTTTTATATCGGTAAACATTATTACTTTATTTATTTATTTATTTATTATTACTTTATGGATTACATAACGGATTATCAAAAGGTTGTTATTCTAAGAATTCAATAATAATGATTAAATTTTAAATATTTTTTTATTACTAGTAATAATTTATATTTATATACTGTATTATATTGGATCAAAAAACAAATTTAGCAATTTCAAGTTTATGTAATTTAATTAAATTAAGAATTTTAAAGTTTTTTAAGTTAAAAAATTTTTGAAACAAAAAATTAATATATAAATTTTCAAAATCTTCAATTTATTGAAAATCTTTAAAAATCTATTTATTATTTTTAAATATATTTTAATATTGTAATAGAATAGATAACTTAGTTTTATTTTTACTTATTTTTATCAAATTATTATTAGTTTATTTTTAGCAGTAGGATTTATAATTTTATTATAGTATAAATATCTATTTATAGCACATATGACGTAAATCAGACAGTCTAGAAGGTCAAAACAGCCCGGAAGGCCCAAAAGACCTACAAGGCCTATGATTTATGAAATTATGACATCACGACATGTAAATCAGGCAGCCCAGACAGTTCAGATAGCTTAGAATAGAAAACACTATATAAGTAGCTGCTATCCATGTAATTTTTGGTCAGTTTTCTGATAACTCACTCCTGTAACCATTGGAATTTTTAACTCGGTGTCATAATAAAGTATTATTATTTTATTAAACACATATTGGTTACAAAGATTCATTGGGAAATTTTTGTTATACCTTGAAATATTTGTGAGAGATTATCTCTGAAACGACGGACTGTTCTATATAATCTCTAATTCCTTCTAAAAATTATCGCTCGGATACAGATCAAACAGATTTTAATCACAATATATGCCAAGATAATTTATTTCTTTGTAATTTGTTGTTAAATAATAAATGGAATAAATGGAAAACTCATGCAAGAAATTCTGAGCAATTAACTTTAAATTTACAAGAACAAATTTTATTGTTACAGAATAATCCATTATTAAATATAGCTGAGATTAGACATTTACCAGTATTAAAATTATTGTCTCCCGCTCTTACAAGATTTCAACCTTATATAGGTCAAGAACTATCTGATGATTACTTAAATAAAGTTATTCAATCATGGGCATATCTTGAAGGACATATGACAGTTCTTGAAAATGCAAATGCGAGAGATTTTAACAATGCAGTAAAGTGTAATATTTTAAAATCTATTATGGGTGGAAAATATGCTCCAGTACCAGCTCAAAATAATTTTGTAAATCCTGCAGTTAATATCAATAGTCCAGATACATTACGAGAATAGTTAAAAGCAAAATATCAGTAGGATACCATTGGAAATCAACAATCAGCTATTCAAAGATTGACTCAGGAAAAATATTAGCCCTATGACACTCCAGATATCTATGAAGCTAGAATTCGACCATTAATAATAAGAGTAGCAGACAATGATGAACAAGTTTTAGGATTCCTAAAAAGCTATTTGACAGGTGATTTTTATACTTGGATGAGAATTGCTAATCCAACAGGCATTAATGCATTTTTTACCAAACTAAAAAACATATGGCTGGAGCATGCACCAAATTTAAATGGTCAAGTTTCTCTACAATCTTTCTATAACACCAAAATAATAGAAGCTCCTATAATTCCACAATCAGTATTTTCTATACCTGATATACAAAAAATGATTGATGAGACATTAGCAAAACAAAAATCCAATTATAATGCTGAGATAGAAAAATTAAGAAAGGAAGTTCAATCCTCAAAAGCACAGAAAACACAGACACCAGTTCCATAAACCATTGAAGTGGTTAGACAGCCAAGAGACCCCATCAAATTTAAAAACAGAAGATTATAAAAATTATTATGTAGCAAAATACTTTAACGATTTAGATATATATAGTAATGAAGATTTAGATTCACATTATTCTAAAAAACCTTTTCAAAGAATAAACCAATTTGCTAGAATTGATAGAATAGAATCAAAAGTAGACGAAATTGAACAAATGACATTTTAATTTGGAAAAATGATACTTGAAAATCAATTCAAAAAAACCAGTAGCCAAATCAAATCGAACACAACGATATTATCCCTTTCAACCAATAAATTCTAGTGTTTCAGATAATGAGAAAGGTAATGAGGGTGGATATGATGAAGAAAAAGATATATGGCTTGATTTATCAGAAAAAAAAATGGATATTACCAATAACATATAATCAGTTATTTCCAAAGCTTTCACCGGTAATGTGAAAAATGTTCCAGTCTTATACAGTTTAGAAGGAAGAATCAGATGAGTGGTTTTCATCTCTACAATACCTGAATGTTGGTATAAATGATTTATCTATTTCTGAATTATTCTTAAATCCTGGAAGTGAATTTGGAGCGATGAATAATGCAGCAATTAATGCCCTTGGATGGAAAGCTGACAAGCTATCTGATTTTGATATAAAAAGTAACTTTAAACATATCATTGAATCATTGAAATGGTTTACAGATATGCCAGTCAGTATAAAGAATAAGGATAGTAAAACTGTTACAGCTACTGGAAATTTTACACATATTAATAATGGTAAACCTGAATCAATGTTATATTTAGGTATGACATGGATTCAAAAAGTTCAAGGTATTCTTGACCCAAATAAAAATCAATTTCAAATGAAATTACATGGTAAGTCTTACCTGTACCACTTTTCCCTGTAACTAATTTAGTGAAGGGCCATGACATTGCAGGATGACCTACACAATGAGATGAAGAATATTTATTAGCCTCATCCATATCCATAAGGAAAAGTTTCATTTTCTTCATGATTATTTGTATTAAAAGGTAATATATATTTCTTAATAATTTGTGGTGAATATTTGTTATTGGATATCGATTTATGTTTGGTTAAAAAATATTTGTACAGAAACCATATAATAAATATTACTATTATAACAAAGATGCTTAGCTTAATAATAGGAGATGTCTGATACTCATTCTTAACAAGAGATTTACTTGCACCTAATGATACAATGGGTAATGCTTCAGCTCCTCCAATTGCAATATCTTGAATCAAAGATTTTGAGTTCTGCTTATTTGCAATAATTGGTATTGTTTTGTTTTTTCTTATTACTAGATCATTTTTTACATTGGATATATCATTAGTTAAAGATTCCTGGCTAGTTTGAGAAGTATCTATTTTTTCTTCCTGTTCTATTTTCTTTTTACTTACAAGATATTTCGTGAGACTTTTTGATTCAGATGTGTCTCCAGAATTTGATATATTTTTTATTGCAGAAACAATAGGGCTCTGCCCTTCATCATCTCCATTAATTATTGCAGAGCAAGCCATTAGGCGATTCATCGAATTATGTCCCAAAGGGACTACAAGTTTTGATATAGCTTCTGATTTCAGGTGATCGAGTTCACTTCTCACACATTCCAATTCAACTTCTATTTGTTTAAACTCACCCATTTTAGATTTAATGAATAAATTCTCAGATTCTATTTTTGATAAGTTTTCCTGAATCGAAAATGTGACTTTTTGAGCTGATGCTAACTTACTCTCCAATATCTTAATCATAGCCTGGAGTGATTTTATTTCTTTTAATTGGATATCATATCTGGCTTTATACTCATCACAAGAAATCTGTAATCGGGTAATCTGGGATGTAAGATTAGTATTGTCTACTTTCAGTTATTTAACCTCTTTAATAAGTTGACAACTATGCTTAAAAAGTTTCTCTTTATCTTTATTGATTTGATTTAGATCAAGTTGTAATTGTGCTTTATCCTGTTTAATATTTTTACTAAACTCTGAATATACCTTCCGGTAGTTTTTAAAATTCTCAATAAGTTCAGAATTGATTATACAACTATCACATAAAGCTTCTTCAAGTTCTACTTCCCTAGTACTCCCAAGTCAATATCTTTTTTATAAGTTGATATCTCATAATGTATGTACATTAGTCATGTATTTTTGACTTAGCTATAATTAATAATGATTTTTTTATATTATCAATAATAACATATTACGAATATTATCAATATTACCAGTATTATCAATAATAATGCATTACAAATATTATCAATATTATTAATATTATTAATAATGATTTTTTTATATTATCAATAATAACATATTACGAATATTATCAATATTACCAATATTATCGATAATAACACATTACAAATATTATCAATATTATTGATATTACTGATATTACTGATATTATCAATAATTATTTTTTTATTATTATCAATATTACTGATACTATTATTAAGACCATGCGATCTGATGCAGTTGAACTATTACTTGCTAATTATGAATATATTATGCAATACAAAAATATAAAATCAAAACCTTTAAAGATGCTTAGAGATAAATATCATATGTCCAATACCTGTTTTTATCAAATATGAAAAGGAAAAGAGGTTTATATAAATACTTGGAATATGTCTTTAGCTAATTCTGAAAGTAGTATTTCAATACCTATAGTTGTGAAAGAAGTAAAAAAGAAAAAATCTAAGCTCGAATCTGTTTGTATTTCTAATTAACATCTTGTTAGTAAAAATTCAATAAAAAAGATAGATGAAATTTCAAAAGAAAAAGAAACTATATTACCTGAAATCACGCGAGAAACTGAAGATCCTTTAGAACTCTTTAAAAGAATGCAAAAAGATGCTAAAAAAAGTAGAGCAATTGCATGTGCTGATATTTTTAAATTATCTACTCTTAGTTCAAAAGTATAAAATCGATTTCTTCTTTATACTGATTACGCAAATCATTATAATATCCAATAAATTCTGTATTGGTTTGAACACTAGTAAATAGTGCTTTTTCAAGTTCCTTTATATGGATAGTCAAATTTTCACAATTCACGCATTTTTTTTTATTGCGGGACAATGGCTCTTCGAGCCTACCTCTGACGCCTATAATTTTTCTGTATTAAATGCATTGCGTAATTCTTTGCGAGTAGAAAGAGGAATTGTAATAGTCTTTCCATTGTGTGTAGCTGTGAATTCTCCTTTCACTATCGGATCCCACCCAACACGATGTTGCCATTTTGTACCAAGTATCATTATAGATATGTCTTTTCCATTTCGATTCTTTTTT